TGCATACACTACCTGCACACACACAGGTAAGGGTGTATTGCCTTCTCCATACACTACATCCATACACACAGGTAAGGATATATTGCCTTCTCCATACACAACCTCCATACACACAGGTAAGGATGTATTGCCTTCTCCATACACAACCTCCATACACACAGGTAAGGGTGTATTGCCTTCTCCATACACAACCTCCATACACACAGGTAAGGATGTATTGCCTTCTCCATACACAACCTCCATACACACAGGTAAGGGTGTATTGCCTTCTTCATACACTACTTCCACACACACAGGTAAGGATATATTGCCTTCTTCATACACTACTTCCATACACACTAGTAAGGGTGTATTGCCTTCTCCACACACTACCTCCACACACACAGGTGAATTCACTCACAGAATGACGCACTGTGTATGATAAGCTCCAGTCAGCATTCAGATTCCCACTCAATAACGATATTCCTGTCAAAGCTCAGATGCACGAAAGCTGTTTGATGCTCAGCAGCTATAATCTGGAGTCAAAGCTCACAACGACAACCAACCGTCTTTTGAGCAATGCTTAGAAAGTGTATTAAATACCTAGGTGTGTCTAACTGTCAACATCTCTTCATTTATTGCTGCAGTATTTTCAATCTTTGCTCCAAAATTTGTTTTCAGGGTTATCTAATTACCAACAGAGAAGTAGTGGCTGAGGATGTTAATGATTTTGAATATACTCCTAAACCAGAATATGAAGGACCATTTATTGTATTTAATGAAGTTGATGAAGTGTCTTTATTACAGAGGTTCATAGAACACGTTTTAGAAGTGAAACCACATATTTTTGTAACATACAACGGAGATATGTTTGATTGGTAGGTGTACACTATGATAACATAAAATGAATGAATAATATAAATAAGCAGTATTTGCAATGCATGAGTTAATGTAAAAGGATTAATTATTTACTGGGTTTTAATTTTGCTTATTTCACTTACTGGAAAATGCGCTAAATTAAAACCCAGTGAATATGTAAAATTTATAATAGAACACATTATCTAAATGACAAAACCGTGAATTTAAAACCCACTGAATATGCCTGAATTGGTAAATCAGCGAAATTTAAACCCAGTGAAAATTAGTCATTTCACAGTATAAGTAAATAAAAATATGCAGTGCTTGTAATGGACACATTTTTAATAAATAAAATATAAATACGTTGTACTTACAACATACATGATAAATATATAATGGCTAGAACTCAATTGATTAGTGTAAAACATTTGTGTGGCCAAACCTTCAAGGTGGTAAATAGTGGCTGACACTATTCGGGGGCACCGTAGACTGTACCTCAATGTGCATCTGTCTAGAAAACACTTTTACTGTCTCTTACAGGCCATTTGTAGAAGCCCGTTGTAATTATCATGGTATTGATATGTATAAAGAAATAGGATTTCAGAAAGATACCCAGGGTGAATATAAATCACGACAGTGTATCCACATGGATGCATATCGGTAAGTGTATTCACTTTGCTTGTCCTGTAACCTAACCATGTCTTTACTTTGCTTGTCCTGTAACCTAACCATGTCTTCACTTTGCTTGTCCATGTAAGGCAACAGGTTACAACAACTATAAAAAAAAATGCAAAATGAAGAATAAGAAATTAAAAACCCCAATACAAAGACACCAGGACAAATACACACACATGAATACACACACAAACGAAACAAGGGAAAAGGCCACCTATGATTGACCCTGTATAACAAAAATGATGAGGTTATGGGCTTATATTTAAAAAGGCAAAACACACTTAAGATCCGCAAAAAGGATACTAGAAAAAAAGAGATAAAACACTAACATTTTCTTTAATAGACTCTGCATTTGCACGATGTCACCTTGCCATTCAATAGGTCTTCAAATTAGTGTCATCACATATCACACCAGATACGCGGATCAAAAACTTGCTTCACATTTGTTTAACAATCACTCCCACAATGCACCTGTCATTCATTCTTTGGGTGATTCATAATAATAATAACATTTATATTTTGTTAGATGGGTCAAAAGAGACAGTTATCTGCCAGTTGGAAGTCAGAATCTGAAAGCTGCATCAAAAGCCAAATTACGTTATGATCCAATAGAGCTTGATCCAGAAGAAATGTGTCGCATGGCGAGTGAAGAACCTCAAGTTTTAGCAAACTATTCAGTGTCTGATGCTGTGGCTACTTACTATTTATACATGAAATATGTACATCCATTCATATTTGCTCTTTGTACTATCATTCCAATGGAACCAGATGAGGTGAGTAGCTGTCATCCCTATAAAATATTAGTATAAACCAGATGAGGTGAGTAGCTGTCATCCCTATAAAATATTAGTATAAACCAGATGAGGTGAGTAGCTGTCATCCCTATAAAATATTCGTATAAACCAGATGAGGTGAGTAGCTGTCATCCCTATAAAATATTAGTATAAACCAGATGAGGCAAATAGCTGTCATCCCTATAAAATATTAGTATAAACCAGATGAGGTGAGTAGCTGTCATCCCTATAAAATATTAGTATAAACCAGATGTGGTGAGTAGCTGTCATCCCTATAAAATATTAGTATAAACCAGATGAGGCAAATAGCTGTCATCCCTATAAAATATTAGTATAAACCAGATGAGGTGAGTAGTTGTCATCCCTATAAAATATTAGTATAAACCAGGTGTGGTGAGTAGCTGTCATCCCTATAAAATATTAGGATAAACCAGATGAGGCAAGTAGCTGTTATTCCTCTTAAATATTAAGTATAAACCAGAAGAGGTTATTCGCTACCACCTTTATTTAATATTAGTATAAACCAGAACTGATATACCAATAATTTCTGACAGTCGTCAAACGTCTTTTTAGCACTTTTAATGTTGAATTTGTGGACATCATGGAAATGCTTCTGTTTGCTGATCTCATGAATTGTGGGATACCACTGTTACCAAAAAATTGTGCAATAAATTGCTAATGTGTTGTTATAACCAGAAATGTATTAACGACTCAATAAATGAATTGTTTCCTAATCTCAGGTGATGAACTGACAGTAAAACTGTTTGTGAGGCATTCCGGTATTCAAATGAGATTGGACAGACTTATTTGATTAGGACGTGCACACACAAATACCAAAGTTACTTTCTATTGAGAAATAGTTAGCAAATTGGGTACATGTGATAAATACAATATCACCATTTTTAATACTGTAAAGTACTGTATTTTAGCTAAAATTAATTTTCGCTCAATAGACTTTTTGGACTTTTTGTATAGAATTTATTTTCATCGGTTTTTGACGAGTAAAATATAGGAAAAAAGGTATATTTTCACTGAATTAATTCCAAGCAAAAATAAAGTATTGTACAATATCAGATTTATGTTCTGAGCATTTGATTACTAAACGAGTTCAATAAATCTGACACCATTGGTCACTCATTAGATATCTTTTATCTAATATAGCAAAAGTATTATTTTATACAGGGTCCATAGCGTTGGGAAAATCCTTTAAAAGTCTTTTGATTTGTTGACGTCTGGAAAGTCTTTGAGTTGTCTTTAAATTACAGGAAAAATAAAAAAATCTTTGAAAAGTGTATTTAAATGTATTCATAGTTATTAATTCATTTTAGAAAGGCCTGTTTTCTCCAGGGAACTACCATATCCTCAGAACTTTGATGAGCTTTGGTGATGATGTTGGCCTGAATTAAGGGTCAAAATGTCTTGGGGGGGGGTGTGTGCAAAAAGTTTGGGAAAAGGTCTGAAAAAAGTCTTGGAAATCATTTGGCTCTTGGTGCTATGGACCCTGTTATATTTGTAGCTAGTGTTGATACATAACTGAATATCATTTTTAGGTTCTCAGGAAGGGATCCGGCACTTTGTGTGAAGCTTTATTAATGGTGCAAGCGTTCCATGCAAATATTATTTTTCCAAATAAACAAGAAACCATATGGAATAAGCTGACAAGTGATGGACATGTGTTAGATTCTGAGACTTATGTGGGTGGACATGTGGAAGCATTAGAGTCTGGTGTCTTCAGAGCTGATCTACCATGCAGATTTCGAATGGTGAGTAATCATATAATACATGTCTACAAGGATTTATGTGTGATTTCAATTGCAAAACAAACTAACATCAGGAATATTATATTGTTTGAAAGATGGCCCAACGCAGAATATCACCGGTAGGCATTGCATGAGCACTTGGCAATCTTTTGGTACCACAAAAACAAATACTGTAAAAGCTAATGTGGTTGTAAGCAATTGATAGGATTCAAATCAACATCAGCATCGATAGGTTTAGTGAGAATTTACACTTACAAAGACAGTGTCATTCTGATGACGCTTTGTAGAAAATATGCAAAGGTGACCTTTTAACAACATGGTGGCGAAGTCATTCAAACTGTTATGATGACGCTTTGTAGAAAATACGCAAAGGTGACCTTTTAACAACATGGTGGCGAAGTCATTCAAACTGTTATGATGACGCTTTGTAGAAAATACGCAAAGGTGACCTTTTAACAACATGGTGGCGAAGTCATTCAAACTGTTAGAACAATGGTTTTTATTTATTTCTTCTTTGTCTCAGGACTCTGGAAATATTCAGATCTATATGCATTGCTTTCAAACCCTTGTTTTTTTTGCAACATGCCTCTAGTTATGTTTATGTTGTAAGAAATAAGATTGAAGTTTGTGTTTATTTAAATCTTCACTGGTACGATGTGTTGTGATTTGCGGTAGGGATAGTTGGTGCACACATCAAGGGTTGGCATGTTTTTTTTACTTCAATGACAATAATGATTTCCATACTATGCTTTGAATAAAAAGTTAGAACATAGAAGGATACAAATTTATTTAATAATTAGTACCAAGTGTAGATGAAACTACTGTAAGAGAAAGCTGATCTGTGTTTAAACCGGATGTAGACATAAAAACAGTTGATTGTACAAACAATTATGGAATAAAAGTGCTAACTTGCCCTGGGCAATGTTTTGGTCCCGATGTTCTCCCAAAATGTACTGCACTACTTGGGTGATCTTGCAGATAAATATTATGCAAGTGTGTAATCTGTCAAAAGCTGGTTTGTGCTAGTCTCAACTGTTTTCACAAGTTTCTTTGTGTAATATGCGTTTCACATTTTTGAATATGACCATAATCTTGTTCATTCCTATTTAAGCAATCCTACCTTTTCATGCAATCACTGTGTTCTGTGAAGCTGTTGGTTAGATATATGTTGCATTGAAAATTGCAAGATCTCTCAATGTTGATTGCATACATGCATGGGACAGATATCAAATCCTTCATATACAACACATTACCATACTTAAATATCAAAGTACTGTGAAATACTTTATTTTAACTGTAATTAAATTTTGCTGAAAAAGCTTTTGGGTTTTTGTATGGAATTTATTTTCACTGATTTTTGATGAGTTGAATGTGAGACATGGGGAAAAAAATATATTCGCTGGATTTTATTTTCACTGTAACATCCCTTCATCGAAAATTGCGAAAATAAATTCCAAGCGGAAATAAAGTATTCTACAGTACCTTGAATGTATATTATAACAGCAACATACATGTGTAATTCATTGATTTGGTCACGTGACAGGTACCTGAAGCATTTCAACAGCTGATTGACAATGTTGACCGAACGATGAAACAAGCAATTGAGATAGAAGAGAAGGTGTCAATAGACAAAGTAACCAATTTCCAAGAGGTAGGTGTCCCTGTGTCACTTTACCATGTTATGTTACAGACACATTGCTACAATGTAATGTTGATGTTAATGTCACTATGACATATCTATATCACTATTTTAATAAGCCTATGTTATGTCATGTTATATTTCTATGTCGATATGTCACTATGCTGACTTGCTTTTTTTTTGAGGTAATTTTATTTTTGGTACTACTGTATTCGTTTTCATGATTTTATAATTTGCGAGAAAGAAATTTTGTGACTTCACCCGCTGTTCGTAATCAGTAACTCTCTTTGCTGTTAATTCTAATGTGAGCTTTGAAATGTGTTTTATTGTAATCCATAATAATAATAATTATAATTATATTATTAATTATTATTATTATTAATAAATATTGTAATCCATGGTGTGAGTGGCAACCCTGAGCTGTCTAACTATTTGTATCATATCACATGCCCACTATGTGCACTGTATAAGATTTATTTATAATATTTTGTAGGTTTGTGATGATATCAAAGAGAAATTATCAGCATTACGAGACACTCCTGCTAGATTGGAAAATCCTATAATTTATCATTTAGATGTTGGTGCCATGTATCCTAATATTATACTGACAAATAGGCTGCAGGTAATTGTATATTTTTCTTTGGGAAGGTTGGAGACCGGATGTGACTGGATGGGATGGGATGTGACTGGATGTGATGGGATGTGACAGGATGTGACCGAATGTGACCGGATGTGATGGGATGGGGAGAGTGGTGGTGGTGGTGTGCTATAGTATAATATAATTACAAATAGACTACAGGTAATTTTGTATAGTTACTTTGGGATGGCAGTAAGTGAGAGGATGATGTCAAATGAAAACTCACTTCACTTGGATCAAGGGTCAGAACTACTTTATGTGATCCAATGAAAACTCCCTTCACTTGGGTCAAGGGTCAGAACTTACTTTATTATGTGATCCAATTAAATGTCACTTCACTTGGGTCAGAACTTACTTTGTTTCATGGTTCAAAATATAAACTCAACTGTTACTTTGTAGCCATCTGCAATGGTAGATGAAGCCACATGTGCTGCGTGTGATTTCAATAAGCCTGGTGCTCGTTGTCAGCGAAATATGACCTGGACATGGCGTGGAGAGTTTAGTAAGTATTTCTTTCTCTACTTCACAGAATACTAACCCATGTCAGCAACATTGCGATACTGTAGAATACTTTATTTTCGCTTGGAATTTATTTTCGCTATTTTCGCTGAAGGGATGATTCCGTGAAAATAAAATCCAGCGAATATACTTTTTTTCCTATATTTCACATTAAACTCATCAGAAATCAGTGAAAATAAATTCCATACAAAACGCCCAAAAAGCCTTTTCAGCGAAAATTAATTCCAGCGAAAATAAAGTATTCCACAGTATTAGGTCATATTATGTGACATGATTCGTCACATATATTTGCATTGTAAAGTGTACTATGGCCATGTCTTGTATAAAAGTTACTGAGTGATGCAATGTGTCTTGCATTCATATTTTCTCAAGGAATTCTGTTATTATTACATACGTTTTCAGATTTTTTGAAAATTCTCAGGAAAATTGTAGATGTTCTTATGAGTGCATATAAAGGCAATGCAATGAAGCGTAGGGCAGTGAACTATATAAAATTCAGTCCGAAATCAAAAATTCTGTTCAAATTACAAAAATCTAAATTGTAAAATTCAGAGACAATTATTTTGACAAAAACATGTTACTTTTAATTAATGGCATTGTGAAAGACTTTGCATTCATAAAAGTTTCATTACCATAGTGATTTTCAAACATTTTGATTTGAATTTTTAATGCTTGTTAAAGCAGAACTAAATTTTAGTACCTTGCAGTCTCACCTTCTTGCATTTATATTTGTCCAGTTGCCCGTTAAATGCACCTGTTTATCTGATATACTTGGGCCAATTTAATTCAAACTTCACAAACACATCATATCATACTTATGCACATGCATTTTTTTCAGGATCGAATTCAAGAATAGCGATCATTTCACAGCGAAAAATTCATCAAAATCAAGCATTCTGCAATTCTGGATCTGTATCTCAGTTGGTTCAGAATAGTCACTGCATGCATTTTATTTACCGTATGTACTCTAATTTAGGCGTCCCTCTAATTTAGGCGTCCCCCAAAGGTCAAACCTAACAAAAGAATTCTAATTTAGGCGTCACCCAAACCTGAAATTGTACACAATGTATCGAAGTTGTAAAGTGCACTAAGCTAAGAACATGTGTTAAATTTCCCGGTCAAATCCAGACAGCTTGACTTCCTGTTAGAAAGGCACTTTCTTTGTTTCAGACCTAGTACATCAAGTGTGAATTACCAATCCATGCAAACGAAAAACAACTTCACAATTTTGGTTGAGCGATGATCACAGTCATATACCGGTACCGTATTTCGTTCGATCTCCGATGTACATGTACTGCCATAGTTGGTATCTAAAAGTCTGATAGCTTCTAACTAAACGACGTCATGGCTAATTAAAACAAGAAAATTTAGTGAACGCAGTACACCAAAGGAGCTTATGGTGTCTGGAGGCAAAAGAAAAACGCACGAGACAAAACAATGCCATTTCAATAAACTACCAATCAAAGGAATTTACATTTATCATTTCTTGTTAATATTCATTCCCAGTTTTATGTTTTATATCGACTGAACGATGAGGCCAGTTACTTTCAAATAATTGAGTATGAATTATCTCTCGCCT